TTTTTATTGAAAATGGATAAAAATGACATTTTGTGTAATGAAAGGTGGAAATAGGGGTGAAAAAATCAAAAAATGAAACACAATGACGTTTTGCACAATAACATTGAAAGATATGGACATTTATACTATTTACCTTATCAGAAGTTGTGCTTCTTCATGAGTAGCAAAAATAATTCATTTTGGAATAATGAAAAAATTATCTAATATTCTTCTAAAATATTAGTTTTAAATTTATTGAATACAATATTTCTTTTAGAATATTTAGGATCATTAGTACATTTATCATACTCAAATCTATATAAAGTTAATCTTCAAGACTAACACAATATTTTTCTAGAATTTTGATTTGTATAAAATTTTGTTTTCTTCAGTGTATCAAAATAATATATATATATATATATATGGAAGAACTAGTTTACGATTTGGAAATTATAGTCATATAAATAGAAATAATGATTCAGAAACAGAATCTAATAATGAAGATCAAGGAGAAGAATTTATTAATAAAGTAGAAATAGAAATTGAAGATAGAATAATATATCCTAAAGAATTAGAAATGAACTTATCTCCTACAGAACTTTTAAAATTAGAAGATCATTTGTTTTTAAATAAACAAATAAGTGAAATAGAATACTTATATTATGATAATTTTAAAAATATAAGAGTAGGAATTAATATAGAAGAAAATGATAATATAACAGAAATATCAGAAAGTAGTAATTATAAAGAATTAGCAGATGAAGTTATGCAACCTAAAACAGAATCAGAACCATATCAATATCATAGTGGACATCCTCCTAGAATACCTGTTACAAATTATAGTGATAAAGAAAGAAATTATATAGCTAGAGGAAAAGTTAGACCTTTAGAACCTAAAATAGAATTTCAGACACCTCACAAACCACAATTATTAAATATTACAGCACATGATCCCCAGATGTGGAATAATACAATAGAAGTTTGGAAGAATACGGTAATAGGTCATTATATTAGATTAGCAGAAAATATGGAACCACTAGAAATGTATAGATATTTAGAAACTTTTTTAGGAGAAAGTACTAAAGCTACATGGGAAGCTTATAAAAGAGATAAACAACCAGAATTTGAAGCACTTGTTTTATTAGGAAATAATCCTTATAATTTTTTTAGTAAAATACATGAATTATTAACAGGAGCAGATCCTAATACAGGACTATATATATATCTATATCTTGAAGATTAACTTTATATAGATTTGAGTATGATAAATGTACTAATGATCCTAAATATTCTAAAAGAAATATTGTAGTTGAGTTGTGTTTTCTCAGGAGCATCAACACAAATTTTTTCATATTAAATTTTATTTTTTCTTCCGGAACACAATGAGGTATATAATCAGTATAAATACAATATTCTTCTAGATTATATTAACATTAATGATTCATTTTACTTTTCAAGCTAAACAATATAGTGTTAAAATTTGTACTTTACATGAGCAACAATGCAATATTCTTCAGGAATATATTCTTGAACATCAATGCCATACTTATTTAGAATAATTATGATTTAATTTATGTTTCCTCGAAAGTATTGAGTCAATATTCTTTAGAGATATTGAAATTGTAATATCATACTTTTCAGTTACAAGTAATGTTCTTCTAAAATATTGATAAGTATAAATTTGTGTTTCTTTAATAGCACAATACCACATTTTTCTAGAATACAAATATATATATAATAGAATTATAAATTGTATTTATTTAGGAAAGCACAATTACAAACAAATTTTACTTAAGAATATGATATGAAAGTTGCAGCAGTGGTCCCTAGCCTTTTTGTCTTTTACAAACTTTACCTTAACCTTGATTTTGTGTCAGCGAAGGTTCTCAACCTTTCATAAATATGCACCTGAGATCCATCTGAATAGAAACCATTCAAAATATCGTCAGTTGATCGAAAAAATTAAAGAATCAACATCCAATAAAATCGTCCAAACACATTGTCCAAAACGGTATCAACATTCAATCAAATTGTCGCGATAGCAAATAGTTCAAGGAATTTACCCGATCAACTGACGGTGTTTTGGACGGTTTTCGTCCAAACGGATTTCAGGTGCATATTTATGAAAGGTTATGGACTTTCGCTGGCACAAAATGAAAGTTAGGATAAAGTCCGTAAAAAATGAAAAGGTTAGAAAATGCTACTGCAATTTTCCCAAAATATTATACATTTTCAAGAGTAATAATATAATAATATTTTAAATATTGTTTGTATGAACTTGTGCTTCTTTAAAAGCAACAAAACAATATAATTATAATATTCATTTTCAAGGAATGGTACAATGTTCTTTTGAAATATTGATTTAAGACATTGTTTAAGCCACATTATGGAATGAAATTCTATTTTTGAATAGTGTATTGATGGAAAATATGTGGTTAAAAAATAAGGAAAATTTTTGAATTTGCGTGTAATATTATTTTATTGAAAAATGTGTGGTTAAGATGATGTCAAATCACTATTGAAGAATATATATATTTTTTTAAAAATGTGGCTCAAACAGGGCCTAAATTGTTTCCTTTCTAGAATAATATTTAATATTTTATAAAAATATTGAATGAAAAAATTACATTTAAGCAAATATTTATCCATCATAAATTGTATAGATAAATGATATGAATAGATCGAATAACTATACTGCTTTGTTATGCATTCAAAGTTAAGAGAATACTGACATTTTTTTAGTGTAGAATAGAAGAGTTTATTTGTAAATTCAATTGGCTAGAATTTCTTGACTTTCTTGCATTAAAAGAAAAATTATTTTTCCTTACCTCAACTGATTAGAGATTTGTGGGCAGAAAGAGAAACTCAATTTCGTTAACTAAATTGGTTGGAAGTTTGTGCTGATAACATGCTATAAAATAGAGAGAGAAAAAAAGAAAGTAGAAAAGTCAATATAATTGTGTATTATATTGAAAATCAAATCCACGTATTTATAGAGAAGAATTATGAATACAATGATAATAAAAATGTGGAAATTACATGCCTCAAGGCCTTTCAAATTTACAGTACAAAGATTAGTTGGAAAGGTTTTTTAATCAAAAATCAGGTATTATGCCCACCATACCTAATCCATACAAACCTAAATCATTTTTCTTCTATCATCTCCATTCTCTCATTCTCCTCTTCATATCCTCTCTCTCTCTGCCCCCTTCCTCTACCATCGTCGTTGAGGAGTGCCCACTGTCGGAGACACCTCCTAGCGCTGCTACAAGGCCACGTTTAATGTAAGAGTCGAGCAGCGTTTCTCTTATTCTTTTCTCTTCATATCTTATCTCTCTTTCTCTCTACACTCTCCCTCACGTCGCCATCATCGTTGAGGAGCACTGCTCCATCGAAGATATGAGAGTCGAGCAGCGACATAGTCGCTGTAGTGGGTGCCCTTGTAATCGATGATGTGATCGATCTGGTCGATTGATGTGAGCGATCTAGTCATCGCTTCAAATTTTTGGGGGTGGTTTTCGAGTCAATCTAGCCGATCGAAGTTTTTAGTAGTTTTTATTGGCGGTTGCAAATGGTGATAGTGGCGATGTATGTGGTGGTGGGCTGCTGGTGGTGGCAATGTGGATTTGGTGATAATTTTTTTTATGGTGGTGTTGGAGGTTGGTGATGGTGGTGACGGTGGTGTTGTGGTGCTGGCGATGGTCGCATGATGAGGGTGGTCACAAGTGTGGTGGCGGTAGTGGTAGTGTTGGCGGTGTGGTATGCGATGCATTATCTAGTGTATATGATTAATTATTTGGTTATCTGTGATCAAGTATTAAACCTTGACTTTAAAAAATTTGATTATTTGTTACTAAAATATAATTTGTAACCAACATACTTGAAAATCTGTAGCCGATAGATAAATTATGACCTATAAAATTATTGATTTGTGATCTCGAAATAATGAGTGACTAATTAATTTGATAATATGTGACCATTAGATAAATTGTGGCATATAATTATAAATCTGTGACCATTAATTGTATAACTGTGACTTTATTTTATTTATTTCATAAATATTTTTAAGTAATTATATATACCTAAATCTTGAATCCTTAAAGTATACACTTGACTTTTGAATTGGTGTAAACTAAACACTCGAGTTTTGATTTTTTTTTTCCCAATAAAAGTTAGGTCTGCAGCGTATAATTTTCGTTCACTAATAATCATGTTATTTACAACAGTCCACACAAAGTATTCTCGACATCCCTAATATAAGCAGGTCAGCAAAAATTAAGCCTACAATGGATGATTCAAAGATTATTGCCACCGAAGATTTTGAATAAAGTGTGATAAACACTTAGAGGGTGTTTGAGACTCATTTTCATATAAAAATGTATTTTAGAATAGAAAAATGATGAGAAATGTGTGGTTGAAAAATGAGAATTTTTTTTGATTTACGTGTAATATTATTTTAATAAAGAATGTGTGGTTAAAAAAAAAGAGAAAAAAAATATATTTTGAAGAAAATGGGTACCAAACGGGATCTTAGAAAAGGATAATTATATTCATACCACAATTTTAATTTCTTACACCACATTTTAATTACTCTTAAGATTCTTAATCTTTGCTTATTATAGCACTTATGTTCTTAACGGATTTTCATATCATTTTTATCCTCAAATTTTTCATTAGTACATTTTGTATTTGATAACAATTTTATGTCCAAAAGTCCGTTGAAATAGTGTAAAACAACTTATTTTTCATCATATTTTTTAATAAAATAAAAAAAAAGTACGAAAAGTTTATTTTTTCCCTCATTTCAAAGCATTAAAACAAAATCTTTTGATATAAATCATCATCAATGACAAAACATACTAATTAATGGAAGATTGAATATAAGAATTTGACCAAAAAAGTTAAGGAAACAATTGTTACAATGAATAAAGATTGAAAAGTTTAACTGCATTGAAACGTCATGTGTCAAATAAAAATTATAGTGACAATATAACCACCCCTCGCAAAAGATGCCACTTGATTTGACCCAAGACAACGCAAAAAATTGCTCTATTTTAGATGATTTTGTGCAAATTTCCCTGCAGCTTCCTTTGCAGAAATCTTTATGTTTGTGGCATGACTCTACATGTGTATAACACTGTGTTGTTATCAATGAAAAGGTAACACTTTCACCAACATTTTTCCAAGAAAATTCTCAGTAATTGGTACAAGTAAATCAAACAGGATAATTTTGTCAAAATTTGTTCAATAGTAAGTTTAAGTTGCCATGAATTTGGAAACAACACAGAACAGCTCTATCATTCTCTCAACTTTTCACTAGGAGCAGCATAAAACTTTTTCCATGAATTGAAATTCACACGTCTGCGAGTTTATTGTTTATTAAATAGTTTGTGACCTAGTCAAAGTTGGTTCATTAATTGAAATAACGTGTGGAATCTCATCCTCTGGAAGCTGGTCAAAAATCCTGCATTGTCTCTTTGATGAATTTCGGCCACCTCCATTTGAATTTCTGCCTTTAAAATTTGCAAGAGAAGCTAATTCATTAACAGCGTCAGCAATATTTTCTACACAGATAACTATTTCTATCAGTAGTGAAGCAATAGCAGCAACTGGCATTATTTGCAGAAGGTTAGTGTCTTCACAGAAATCTGATTTTAGGAAGGATTTTAGGTTTCCAGATGCGATTTTCATGTTCGTTATATGCGGATTAGGGGAGGATGGCAAAATCATTGTTTTAATTGCCAATGCTAGTTCTTTTAATGCTTTTCCAGATTCTGAACTGACGTTTGAAAATGCCACCTGAATCATATCATTGTTCTCTGATGCCTACAAAAATAGCACGAAATCAGTTAAAACACACGAAATGGGCTGAAAACCCGTCTTCTTGAAGAAACATTCTATACTAATTACACTGCCTTGTCAAATTCCATTTAAAGGGTTTGTAGATATACTTGAGTTTTAGGAATTAGGTAGCTGTTGAGGGATTCAACCCTGCGGGCACACTGCCTTGTCAAATTCCCTATCTTGAGGTATTGTTTCCATGGATGGCGATACATGAACTGACCATGCCCTGGTTCCCATCTTGCCAAGTTAGCCTGCCAATGAACAAAATTCAAAATCAGAAAGACTATTAACTGCGTTCCCATGAAAATATGTACCATATACAAACGTTTTACCTACCAAGATATCTTCTCTGTTTTTCGAATCCAGAATGCCATTCACGCCAACCCGAAATTGCACATCATTTTCAAATTCTTTAGCTTCCGTCGAATTCGAAATCTCACCTGCAAAACCTGGACCCAAAATAACCTCAAGAAATTAGAATATATATATATAATATTAGCTTATATTAAGCACACCATTTAATTGGTGATGAACAAGTACAGTGCTTGGCTAGAAGACACAACAAGATGATGAAAAAGAAATCATACCTTCTAAAAAATTTCCTAGCCTCTCTAAGTTCAGAGCTACAAGCTTGTGAAGATCTTCACCAGCCCATACAGGGCGAACAAATATGGATACAATCACACAAGCTGATGCACCTATTAGTATGGTACAGAGCCTCTCTCGAGCCAACTCAAATAGGTCATCGCTTCGAAAACCAGATACGGATACCAAACAAAATGTCAACGTGAAGATTAGCATCCCATAATCATATCTAGCCTTCACTCTGGGAAAGAATCGTATGAATGTTGATGCCCCAGCTTCGAACACATACACATAAAGTTAGGGTCTAATGCAAGACAAATTTGATAGAATGGCTTTTTTGTTATACTGGATTGAAGTACTAAGACAACTACTACTCAAGAAATTTAATGAAATTGAAATATTGTCTACTATAGGTGTTGCTTCCAGAATTGTACTATACGCACTTTGTAGCATGTATACCTTGTAGAAAGACAAGTATTCCAATTAATATCGGTTCACCGGGTTTTCCAGCAATGCTAGATAAGTGATAAGCTCCAAGGCCTAGAGCACCACCTACCAGAGTTGCCAATCCTCTATTTAGCCCTTTTCCAATTGTTGCACCTGGGAAAAAAATGAAAAAGAATGCATGGTTGTGTTTTTACATTGAAGCAGAACTTGAACATCACAGAACCAAGTATGAACGTACGGAGGACGGAAGCTGTAATATTTATTACAAAGAACTTTATAGGTACAATGGACATAACAATACTCAACATCACTAAGATAAAGATGAATTTCCTTTGTGTACAATTTAGGTCTGTCCACATGCGAAATATGGTTAAATATTCTAATTCCAATTAACCTTTTCAAATATTTCACAATTGCAAATGAAATTTAAAAGTTCTTTGAGTTTCCATTGAACTTTCTTAAATGTTTTCTAGTTGTCACTGAGTTTTAAAAGTTTTCGTTGTTGCTATTGAACTTATCAAAATGTAATTTTATCCGTCACTTTGGTACTCAGCATTTTAAAATTTAAGGGACTTGATGGATGGAAGATGCAATGATATTTTGGTAAGTTCATCAAGTTCCTTAACTTTTAAATGGCGATTGATGGAGTAACTGTTATGATATCATTTTGACAAGTTCAGTAGCAACTAGGAAAAGTTTTAATGTCCAATTACAACCTAAACATTTTGGAAAGTTCAGTTGTAACTGGAAAACATATTAAAGTTCAATGCAATAACAAAACATTCGTGTCACTGGGATATTGCAAAATAAGTAGAGCAGCTTACCAACAGTGAATTCAAAGACAACCACCACAGTCATAACAGCCCACATTGTGTTTTCACCAAAGTTTCTGTACAAAGGCTGGATGTAATAGAGCAATGAAACTAAATTAAGTGCTAGTCCAACTTTCAATGAATGGATCACTTTTCTTGGATCATCTCTTGCAATCTTTTTATAAACATTTTGGAAAGTTCAGTTGTAACTGGAAAACATATTAAAGTTCAATGCAATAACAAAACATTCGTGTCACTGGGATATTGCAAAATAAGTAGAGCAGCTTACCAACAGTGAATTCAAAGACAACCACCACAGTCATAACAGCCCACATTGTGTTTTCACCAAAGTTTCTGTACAAAGGCTGGATGTAATAGAGCAATGAAACTAAATTAAGTGCTAGTCCAACTTTCAATGAATGGATCACTTTTCTTGGATCATCTCTTGCAATCTTTTTAGCATGCTCAGCAATTTCAACCATTTCAGAAAGGAACTTCTTGGTAAAGCGCTTCACCCACAAAAATCCAAGCACAAAAAAACCCACTTTCTCCTGATTTCCAGATTCCAACTCCATGTGATATATTAAATGGGAAAAGTGTGCTTATCAAAGAGGAATTTAGAAGCAGGCTTGAGGATTGAGGCTATACAATAACTGATTTATATAAGAAGAGAGAAGGATAGGAACGCAAGAATATATTCTGTTTTTCTTTAGTGAATAGGTTTTGCTACCTTTATATAAGATTTCATGCAAAGAAGGGGTAGGAATTGCAAGATTGACTATAGTGGGGTTGTGACTCTGGATGTCAAGACTCGAGCGAAAGTACAAAAGTCTTGTGGGGTTGCCTTATAGCAGCAGGATGCTTTTGGTAAGCCATAACACGTTTTGTGTTTTTTACTACTAACAGTAAATTGATAGGGCCATATAGACTTTGGTGAAGATCATATAAAGCCAATTTGAAATTTGAAGTGTTTCTATGAACTGTTACGCATGGCTCAATATATTCTTCAAAAAAATTGTGCATATTAGTAAATGTTACAGACATGTTATTTATGACAGGATCGAAGCACTGGCGGACCTACTCATGGTCCTGATGGATCAATTGACTCACCAAATTTCAAGATTTATTTTATTATTATTTATTTTTTGGGTTTTAGAGCCAGAAATCAGATTTGGGCAGTAATGGTAGTTGGATTTTTTTATTAGAATAGAGTTACAGCAATAACCGAACAATTGAGAGAGTGAGAGTTGAGATTATTTTGTCATTTGCAATATTGAATTTGAAAATTCTTTGGAACTCATTATTCATCATATATGTGAGATTATTTGGAAATTTTTGAGAATTGTTATTTATCATATATATGAGAGTTATGAATCTATGACAATGATCAACTGTATGTATTCATGTAGTATACATAACTTTTTAATAAGTTTGAATCGTGCCCTACTAATTTCAAATGTCTGCGTCCGCCACTGGATCGAAGACTTGTATATTACTATAAGCAGTTTTGGGGAAGGCTTCAGCTTTTCTAGCTAGACAAGGTATCACCGAGGCTAGCAGCAGAAATTTTGTTCGTGCGGGATCTCAAGCACCACTTAGCTTAAAAATCAGTTTTCCTTGGTCTTGAATCTCAACAACGCATCGCTATATATTTGAACCCGCAGAGCGTACTGGCATCACACTCGGCTGCTCTTGATGCTCATATTCGTCAACATTCTTAACTCCTCGTGTAGATTGTCGTCGTCGTCTTCACTAGCTTGCATGCTGATCATGCTTTCCTCAACTAGGGTCCATAAAATGCATATCAAATGGCAAGGGAACCCCTTGCTTCATGTCAAGCATTGAGAATTAACTCATGTAGGTTGAAGTGTGAAACAAGAAACAAACATATGACATTGATGCTAGTTGACTTCAAGAAAATACCCATAATGGGCACAATCAATACTCATTGACGCAAACGAATTTGAAATCATGATCTCATTGAATTTACACGAATGTCGATTCTGATTGAAAGAATTGAAAATTTTCCAAATTTTATAATTTTTATCTATTGACAACCGAATAACACATAACCGTAATTCAACTTTTTAAGAAAAATAAGACAAATTTACGGTATTTAAGAAAAAACCAAGTCTAAATAATTTCTGCCATAGTAAAAAGACCTGTTATGACAGCCTAAACGATCTAAATTGGCCTAAAAACCAATGGACTCAAGGGTTTCAACCCATGAGTTTTTTTTCATAAACTTGTTTTAACATGGAAAAGTGATATTGTATCAACACAACTCTCTTGAGTCAAATATCCGATTGCTTCATGGTGGGAATTCTGATCAATTTCTCGATTTGCCAACATGATTCTTGTTTAAATAAATATTAAGAAGCCAGAATAAGATAAAATATAAGAATATCTCCAAAAGACTCTTTAAACATGAAATGTTCTCCATTTTAACCTTAAAATCATGTTTCAAGAAACTTTTTAAATTAACATTTTAATTTAAAGAGTGGATTAAAGCCAAGCTCACTCTCTATAATTAAATGTATTCAAAATATTTCAATTTTCAATGTTGGAAAATAATATAATAATTTAGAGAAAAACTAATTATAATAAAAGACAAAGAAAATTAATAAAATTTTTTCTGGAATAGTAAAATTAAGTGTTAAATATAAAGAGCTTATTGGAGTACTTCAAACATTTTACTCTCTAAATTTATATATGTTTTCTAAATTATAGATTATGCTTTTTAAAAATAGATAGTTTCTTGAAACTAGTCTAAGGAGATAAATGACACGAATTTATGTTGAAAACTAGAAAATTGGATCTGTTTGATTGCAAAGATGGAATTTGGGTGAAAGAAAAATGAATTCCAAGTAATTGAATTACCTAGGAATTTTTTTATTGGAGATTGTCAATTATTGTGTTTGATTGGTATAATTTTTCGTGTGAAAAATATTGAAATAAAAGTATTTTTCTGGTGTTTGTTTGACGTTATTTTATATGAAAATTATTAATTAAAGGGATATAATTTTACTGGTATTGGGGATAGAATTTGTTTCCATTGCAAAAAAAAAAAATCAAGAAAATCATCTATCTTTTGGTATTCGTTTGACTTTGTTTTACATAAAAATTGTCAATTAAAGGAAAATATCTTTTTACAATTAGGGATAAAATTTGTTTTTATTGTCAAAAAAATAAATAAATAAATCGGCACCATAGCCTAGAAAACCAAGAAAATGTCCATGTGGCAAGAAAATCAATTACCAAAAAAAAAATGCTATCAAACAGTCAAAAAGTGAAAGATGAAATTTAAATTTCATTTTCCATGGAAAATAATGACCTATCAAACATGTCCTTAAAGAAAACCAAAGACTATCAAAGATATATTCCACTTCTCAGTCACCCGAATCGAGGTAAAATAATTTAGCATTTGCCATGCCCACAATTTTCTACCAATTGCATAAACCATAAAACTACGAGAAAATTCACTTAATGCAAATCCTAATTTTTCGCTCTCATTCATACCATTAAGGGATAAATTTCATATTGGTTGAATGTCGAAATATAGATCAACATATGAGGGTTTGAATTACTTCTTTTAATAATGTTGACGTTTTAAAATGGAACTTAGAACTCACGTCTTAATATTATATCAGAGCCTATTAAGCTTCAATGAGCAATTCAATTCGATTAAAACTAAAAAATAGGCACAAAAATTCAGAATTGACCTGCTCAAAAAATCTCACATCG